AATGCACTTAAAACCAAGGTATTTGAAGACCAATTTGGAATTTTTTCTTACGTTGAAAAAGGAGAGCTACAAATATACCTTTATCACTTCTCCACTTTCTCCGAATGTGTTTCTCTTCCAAAAAAAGTTCTATGTAAAGGATGATTCGGTGAATCACAGTGGCGGTGTCATTGTGACAGGCACAGGATGGTGTGAAAGAGATGTGTCAAGGTGTTCATAACAATATCCTAAGAAGTGTCTGACCTCATCTCCTTTTGACATGTTTATCTAGATTTAACTCACTTACCTAAGGAAAAAAGGTTTGATCTCACTCTATTTTCTATTAATCAAAACATTTCAAATTATGTCTCCTTCCTCATAATGACTTCCTCTCCTAAAGGATTAAATGTACAGAAGCTTATATTCAGACTTGGGCTTAACTGTGGACTTCCTGGGTACATAGTGATTTTGTGTGAGCATGCATATATGCATGTATGTGTGCAGTGTGTGTATATATAACAGAAAGTGTAGACAAAGTCAATAGATTGGCTAATAATCACAAAGTCTTGCAGCAAATGTACTTCCCAGTTTTACACTGCAGTAGAAAAATGACAATACTCTTCACATTTTACAGTTGTTCTTTGGCCTGTAAAGAGCTCTCAACTAACTAGTATGTTTCCCAAACCAATTTCCCAAAGAAAAACTTCAAATATAGGAAAGAAAAGCTAATTTCTTTATAATACATCACTCCAAGTTGGTTTTGCTACTGGAATATTAATAATTTGTAATATTATGCAGCAATAGGCAAATGAACTTTGGGTCACTGATGTATCACGGATGCATAGAAAAAACCAAACTGCATCATCACAAGAGAGGAATGGGTCCTTATAAATGGTTTTATCTATCCAAACACTTCCATGTGACACTTTTACTTAGAACATATGGGTTTGGTTAGATATAATTGACAGATTTACCCTAAAATAAAGATTTTATGTCTTAAACCAGGACTGGATCTGAGTGTAATCAGACGAGGTCTTTTGCAAACTCTGGTTAACATTGGGATCTGCAGGATACCACCTGCAGCTACTACCACAACATTTGACATGCTGCATTAGATCCACTGTGAATGTGAAAGCTTAGCTTTTGTCAATCAACTGCTCCTAACAACAGCATCTTCATTTGTACAGTGCTAGGACAAAATATTCCCTTCTGCTCCCTGATGATGTAGTTGACTTCTAAGAGTATCACTTTTTGGCTACTTGAGAAACAGTAGTGGATGAACTCAACTTCACTGTCACTAAAGAGCAAAATAAACATGAGCCCAAATAATTGATTCTATAAATAAAAATAACAAAAAATTAACTGAGAAACTTCCTTGATTAGTTTTATAGAAACAGATGGGCTTTTCTGTGTGATCACATTTTGTAAATGTTATAAAAAAGGTAACTGGAAAACTTGATGAAAAATAACATACCCTTCTAGAGCATAGTATACAACATTATCAAATTTTAATAAGCATTGTATATAATATTAGAATAGTTTGTGGTATAGGACATATTTTAAAATAGACTATAAAACGGCATAAGTTCAGTGAAATTTCCCAAGTTGTAATTATCACAACGTATAGGCAAATTCACATTTATAGACGTCTGTTACAAAGGAAATATAAAATGTCTATAGACATTAAGCACAACATATTTAAAATAATACAAAATAAATGAAATCTACTAAGATAATTAATTGGCTCCATGTATTTAATAAGTTGATAGCTAAAAAATTAAAAAGCTAATTATGATTAGATTCAAGTGCCCATTATCTGCGAAATGAGATTAGAAAAGGGACCCACATTAAAATCAAAAGGAATCACTTTCTACCCCCCAAACATACTCATCTATTCCTCACTTTCCTTACCAATTCTGATTTTCTCCTATTGTATTACCTTTTACTTTAAGTCAGAGGAGTGTCCAGCTGAAAAAAAGGATACTTTAATTTCTTTAAAATAGCTTAAGTATTTTTTGAAATAAATTGCTGATTTTTCTCCCAATACATTTTTGAAAACTTTCATTACATTCTCTAGCTGATCAATAATACTACCAAAAGAAAAATTTCAGGAGTTATTTCATTTTTGAGTCTCCTAGGATGGAAAAGAAAGAGACACAGTGGAAAATTATTAGAGAAGTCCTAAATTGTTACTTGAAATCTAGAACTCTATTTTCTCCATGTACCTAGAAAGTAGCAGGTAGCTTTGTGTTAAATAAGTGACATACATGTCAAATTCAAAGGAAGTAGGAGAGAAATTAAATATATTTCTGACCACAGTAGATAGTCAGTTCTCATCTAGACTTCAAGCTGGTGGAACACTTTTCAGTCTTGCTTATGATTGTATTATTTATTCACTTATTTTTTATGTTTTCTTTCTTTTTCTTCCTTTCACTACAGTGACCCAAACTTGGGAGATTACCCGACAACCAAAAGAGCAGGGTCTCAAACTGTTCTAATCAAGGCTGCCTGTAACAGAAACTTCGTTGTGAATAATGAAAATTAACAGTCAATTCCCCACGGGTCTACACTTACCCCACCTTGTATTTCTCATTTTGGGGATCTCCAGAAATTTTTCCCAGACACCATTTTACATATATTAATTTCTTAGATTACTAGATGTGTAATTTTAATGATCTCATCACACTGTCCATATATTTGTTATTTTTTCATTCTATGAAAGATTTTTCTGGCTAAACACGGTATTTCAGTTTTTGGAAGCAGAAAATTAAAGAGCATAATAACATCAGATCAGCTGTAAGAAATTGGAGGAACAGTTTGGGAAATCTAGAAAAAGAAAAAACTTCATAGGAATTTCAAGCTAATAAGAAACCTAAATCCAAGAAGTTATCCAGTGGGGAACGTACATCTCATCTTTCTGTGGAACAACAACCAAGGGCCAAAATGTGGTGAAGTGGCAGATGAAATGAAAGCCGACTCAAAGGACTGTCTCAATGCATCCTGCTGAAAGACCACCCAAAATGACCCAGCAAGATAAAGTTTTAGTACGTGTGTCTTTTTCTACTGCAAAATAAAGCATACATGAGCAATAATTGCATTGCTCTTCAGTTTGCTCTCTCCTTACAGTGGGTAGCAGTTCCAATGTGCAAGCCAAAATTTTTTTTTTAAATCCCTTCATTAAATAAGTTTTAAACAGTAGGAAGAAAATTCTGTAGTACTGAATGTAATATTTAGATTAAGTGAAAAATCATATCCAAAGGTACATATAAATGAATTGGAATAATAACTTAAAGTTATCCACAAGAACTCATTTTCTATCCTTGTATCAGAAGTAATAATCAAGACTTAGATGTATTATCTTTCTTTTTACTGGCAACATATATAGTATGTAAAAACTATCATCGCTCTGGTGCAAATGTCAAATGGACATTTGAATCCCCATATCTTAACTTTTTAACGTGAGTTTTATGAAATATCAAGTAGCTCAAGAATAAGTAGTGGATAGAATTTTCATTTATAGTTATGTTTTTATGGTCTTCTCAGCAACAGTGTGCTAGACTGGATAAACGACTAACAAGAAAAACATGACCTCTGCCTTCATTACTTTCAGAGTTATAGTGCTTCAATTCAAGTTAAAATGATACCTTGATTTTAAAATAGAATAAATTATGCAATTACTTTTTATGGCAGGACCTCTTAATAACTACTAGCTAGTTTTGGAACCTTGTTTAAGTCACTTAATTTGTGGGCCTCTGGTGGAAAATAAATACGTGTAACTCCATGATTGTTGAAACCTTTTATGGTTCTGACACACTCAATTTTCAAGATTTTTCTCATTAATTACCTCTTTCAATCTTCATGGTCATCTACAGTGGTACAGAATATGAGTTATAGAAGACAAAACAGCTAGGAAAATGCCAAAAGAGTTGAAACTTGATTGCCAGGCTTCTGATACAGTGCCTGACAGTTCAAATGACACAGGACACATAACTCTGGACAACTTTAGTATAGGTTTGCAAAGTTGTCATGTGGGCAAGTATTTTCATACCTCTGAGCCATGGTTTCTTTCTCTATAAAACTTGAAACATAACTTCACACAATGATAGGATGTACATACAATAAAATCCTCAAAACACCTGGTGCTGATGGCTCATGCCTGTAATCCTAGCTACTTTGGAGGCAGAGATAAGGAGGACTGTGGTTCAAAACCAGCCAGGGCAAATAGTACATGAGAACCTATCTCAAAAAGAAAAAAAAAATCACAAAAAAGGATTGGTGGAGCAGCTTAAGGTGCAGGCCCTGAGTTCAAACCCCAGTACTGAAAAAAAAAAAATCCTCAAAGCTAACTTTTTTCTATCCTGAAGGAAGGACACAATATATATATAATAAATGTTACTGAACAACAATTTTAATGTGACTAGAATTTTCTGTAAGTTTGTACCTGACCTAGGAGCCCCAGGTTTCTTTATTACTGACTCCTAAATGTGCTGAGCTCAACTTTCTTGGCAGAATAGGATTGTGTCTTCATTTAAGACCAGAACTACAGAATCGGGGTCTTCTGTTTATGGTTATTTTTACCAAACAACCAATTGAGACAGGGAACTGACAATTATACATTGCTTGTAATAGTTCCTAGGACATTTTCCTATAGTTCAATATCCAAGGAAAACAAAATTTTCTCTTTTTTGTACCTAGTAAACCATCAAGCTTACTGGCAACCACCAACATCATCATCATCATTATTATCATGATGATTCTAATATAACTCCTGGACATTAACTAATTAGTATTATATGTTATACATTAAAATAATGCATATCTGATGTTTAACCTCTACTTTTTAAAACCATTCTAGTATTGTTAAATTTCTGAGTTTAGGTACTACTGCTATAGAAGATTTTTTTTGGGTGGTGGGGCAGTACTCATGTTTGAACTCGAGCAAGTGTTCTATCACTTGAGCCACATCCGAGCCACACCCCTAGCAGTAGAAAAGTTTAGAAAAAAAAGTCTTACAAAACATGTTTGTTATCAATGCTTTATTGTTGAAATCAAAATTGAAATCTCTGGCACATAAAACAATTATTTCTACAAAAGAAAGCCTACAAATCTTGATAATTTATACAAATAACAGTTTCTCAAAAAATAAAATTTTAATTTAGTAAACTTGTCTTGTGCTCTATATTTTTAGCACTGTCTGCAATAATCCACCATAAATCCCTGAGCGGAGACATTTTTTTGATCATGTTCTATCACCCCCCTCCCTTAACCCTCCCCCCGAGTTGGTCAGTTACTAAATCCAGCCCTATAGTGAAAAGTGTCAGGGACATTTAGTTATTAAAAATCCATGCATTTTATGACACAGGCCCAATTATTAATGCTACTTGGGAACTGTGTCACATGAAGTGCCTCCATGTGCATTCAGTGAACCTATTAAGAACCAAATGTTGGAAAGGAAGAACAATTAACAATAAAAAGACATAAACAGTTAAGACTAGGAAGTCATCATAAGTCAATAACTATTTAAATAAATAAAAATGTTAGACATCAAATTCATTTTTACAGCCTTATATTAAATTCCTTTCTTTTTTGTAATCGCCAATGTACTAGAAGATGAAAAATACACTTCAACCCACTAGTTTGGTTTCACCATGGGTTTGTTGTTGTTAAATGTTAAATATCATTCTGAAAACACAGTGATTGAGTTATAACTTAACTTCTGGCCCTTGAGTGAAATGTTCACAAAATAATATACACATTATAGGAGGGCCTTCTTATTAATGCCATTAAAAAAACTCTCACTACATTTGTCTTTCTTACAAAGAGACTAATGCCATAGGAACACTAATTTAAATTCTTTATCCACTGTATTCAGATACATAACACAACATGTAAAATATGAAGGAAACATAATATATTGTATTTGTATGTCCAGCTTCCCTTCAATGGAATTGATTATATATACATGGAGTTGCAAAAGGGAACGATAGAAAGCTAATTTTCAGTTGCAAAGAACTGGCTTAATGAAGTGAGCTTTTTCTTTTTATTCTGCTATAATAGGATAATAAATAAATAAATAGGTAGGGTATAGCTTAGCTAATTTCTCTGTGAAGAAGTTGATAATGGACTGGTGTTTTATGAAATTAATTTCTAGTAGCAAAGTTTGAATGCAAGCCAAAAAAATAAAATAAATGTTTTCCTGTATTTCATTTATAGTCTTTTACTTGTGAAATGATCATTGAAGCAGTTAATACCAGGTATTGAAGTAAAATACCCAATTTGCTAGTAAAAAATAGTTTTCAATTGGAAAAGCATTGGGCAGAAGACCTAGACATATGAAAACTAATGTTATACTCTACTGCAGTTTAAAATGTCATTTTTGACATCTTTCAGGAAGAAAAAATGAGATAAAAATAATTTCTTGAAAATGCTGTTTAAGTACCTATTAGAAATTGACTAGCATTTTAAAGCAACTTTTTCCAAAGCACAAAGTTACTGGCAACCATCATCATAGACTTTGTGTACACTTGATTTTTTTAACCAACATCATGGGGAAAGTCCCAAAATCTTCCTTTTATCTAATCACTATCAGTTAGTTATTGGAATTGGAATACTTACAAACTTTCCTTTCTTTTAGCCTTACATAAGCACATGCATTTTAAAATGTAATTTCAAAAGAATTGATACAATGGATTCTACTGGGAGTTTGATAACATATACTGGCAACATTAAAATTAAAAAAATGTCTGCTTGATTCATATGGGGTTTCTCCAGCCCTGCTGACGATGCCACTGTGAAGTGTGGTTAGCTCTACCTTCCATATCCTTTTGAGAACATGAAAAACAGATGATGTTCAAGCCTGTGACAAGCAAATCATAAAATGTTATGTGCACTAATCGAGAAACAACTTCAGATTCTGACAGATGCTGACACAATATTAAAATAAAAAAAATTTCTAAACATCAGAAATGAATAAGCAGGCTGTCCCAAAGAGAGAAGACAGCAGCGTTAGGACAACCGGTGGCTCACTGGGATTCACAAGATAATTTAATCACTCCCTATTAACACTTAACCTTAAGAGTTTACTGTGGCTGAATGGACACTCTGACTTCCTCTCACAGTGTTTAAGAAACAATGTAATTTCAAACTTAGCTTTCAAAAATGAACAAAATCTCTAACTTAGGTACCCCCTCCCTTTTAAGAATGCCAAAAGATACTGTTTTAAGTGCTCTGGTTTACAGTCTATGGGTAACAATTATTTCCTCCAGGAGGTTTCCAATGTTCCCCTTTTTGGTGTTAACTGCTGTGCCAACTGCAAAGTGGATTCACCAAGAAGTGGCAGTGACCTCAATGATTTCTGCCCTGGTCTTAAAGTCCCAAATGAGCTTTTTATCATTGCACTGCTGGGAAAGCCTGTCTATTAATGAAGCCAGCTTTTAAACATGGAGGAGGACGAGGTTTGGCCATCCTGTGTCAGGTCTTGGAAGTCTTTAATCCTTGCTTTTCCATGATGTTCCACAGTTTTCGGAGATTGGACTGTGTGATGACATCATCTGGCTTGAGCTGCAGAGCCCGAAGGTAATTGGCCTCTGCCTTCTGGAGTCTGCCATTGAGGTGCAGAATGGCTCCCAGGTTCATCAGAGCAGCTGGATACTGCAAGAGGGAAGGGAAGTAAGATGATAAAGAGGCCATTTAAGATTTCCTTCATGGAAGACAAAGTCTTCACCCACTTAAGCAAATGATTCCCTCATGTCTAGAGGCATTTGATGGAAGCAATTTAGCAATTTAAACACACAGACAAAGATAACTAGGAAGAAAAAAAGTTTTGAAACAGCTGCTGTGTACTTCATGCTTTAAACAGGAAAGGAAGCTAGGAAGTAGTGTTTTCTGTTCATTGAGAAGGCAGGGGTAACATTTAAAGACCTACTAACCTAGTCAGACTGTACTGTTTGAAAAAAAATGCTTAACATGATACAAGTTCAGATGGAAATAATTGAGCATTTTAAAAACAATTCTAAGACAAGAAATAAAAACTAAGTGAAGAGACACTTGTCTCAGTAATATTCCAGGGTTTGCATGTAAAAAAGCAAAACACAAAATCAGAATTTTTGTGATGCTTTCAAAGTAAAAACCCTGAAAAAAATTGCATATAGTTACTAACATCCTTTGAGTCTAAGCTAAGTATTTATTTTTACCAAGAGAGAGTCCTTACTTTTAAAAGCTAGTTTTAAAATGGTTACTACACATACAGCAAAGCAAATAATATCAAAATAGATAAAATATGATGAAGAAAAATATGACCTTTATAAGAAAAGTTTTATGTACATGTTAAAAAGTACTTAAATAATTCGAATAGAATTTTCAGTTATGCACAACTGCACTACCAAACTATCACATGAAAAAGTTTTTAAAAATTATTAAAATTTATGAGTTATGTCACGATAGCTTAATACAGGATTTCCATCCTTGAATTGCCAGACATTAGTTAATTAATGAAAGTATATCCCAAAAGAAAAACCATTTAGCTTGCTATGTAAAATAAAGGCTGCTCTGTTGTCATCTCATTCCTAAAACATTCTGGCTCACAGAAAGCAGATAACATTTGGCAGTTACATAAACGCATATTCAAATTATCAGATAAAATGAAACAATATTTATGCTATGATTATACTTTCATCTCACAGATAGTGTCAAGTATTAATTGTTCTTCAATTCTGTGGTGAGCTCCAAAATAATTCCCAATTATTTTTATGATTCAGTAATTTGGCAATGTATGCATTTTTTTAGCTGAATTCATCTGACTCCACTCTTTACTGTAAAAACAATTATTTCAGAACCAAAATAATGCCAAGAAGAGGCTGAAGTAGTTCAGAATAAACTAAAGGAAAAACATGAGATTTGAATTTTAAGAGATCTGGGTTTGAGTTCTTGTTCACTCTAATATAACATAACTATGCTCCAATTCTTTAGTTTGTGAAACACTGAAATAGCATTAGTTTCTTTGCATGATATTAGAAAGACTTGAAAAAAGTAAATCCATGGAACAGAATGCAGGTAGGTACAAAGTACACACTCTACAAAGGTCAAAGGTCAAGGTCACTTTTCCTAATCTCATTTTGAGGTCTAGTATATGTGTCTTTGTAATTTTTATGTTGTTTCACAGCCTTTATGATTTTGATTTCAATGGCTATATAATGTCTGCACATGAATACAAAAATTCTTCTAAGTTCTCAATTTCTTGTTTTCAAACTTTTCTACATTTTTTTCTCTCCAAAATAATGTTGCAATATAAGCTATTCATGACTTTCAAAAACCTTTTGGTCAGGATGACTCCATACTTATAAAGAAAAATACAGATGATCAGTTTCTAAATTTAAAAACCAATCCAAATAAACACAGCTCTAAATTACATGTGCAGTGAAAAGATCCACATTGGAAACTAAAAATAACACCACCCACTTCTCTTCCTAAAAGAAGTTTGCTCTCACACCACCATTAGTATCTTAAGTTCCTTAATGCCTGAATACATTTTTGCATTATGAACCCTCACAGTGCTTGGCATGACTATCAATAAACAGCTACTAAATTGACAGTGAAGCGTGTTCACAGCCTGACTTACTAGAGATGCTAAGTGTATAAAATGTTCAGACTCTCTGCTACCTTGAGTGGGAAGAGAGGAAAGAGGGAGGGAGAACCATGGTTGGGAGACCATTCCTTACTAATCAGAAAATGGAAGCCGAATGATGGGGAAGAGAGAAACCAGCAGGCTTCATGGGATTCATTTCCCCAATCATATTGTCCAATGTGTCTGTGTCTACAGTGTCTGTACCTATAATTGCAATGCAAGGGGATTATTAAAAACATTCAGAGATTATGAAGTCATGTGGCCTAAGTTCAAATACCAGTTCTACCACAGAGAAGTGTTTACTGGAACCAGCTGTGTAAGGGCTTGGGACCTTAGTTTCTTCTATAATAACTAGGATAACAATAGTACTTGCTTCATAGGGTTACTGTAGAGATTACATGAGATTATAAACATAATAATGTCTTTTCCCTTTCTCCTCATCATTTCAAATATATAAACTAGAATCTTCATATGAGGGTGCCTGAACAGCTTCCTGGTCTTTTTTTAGATTAAACCTGTAAGAGATGGATGTGAAAATAGGTGGTGAAATAAGACAAACAAGCTACATAAGTAAACTGTATTATTATTCCTAAATTGCAGCCTGAGGTTCTTCTGTCCTTGGAAATCACATTTCTGCCAGAAAATGATGAGGAAAATTTATGTTTTAATATTATTCTAGGACACACAATTAAGAAGTTAAACCTATTCTGATGAGTGAGTTCTGACTACTAACTATATAATCGTGTTTTCATAATAACTTTAGTTTTACATTATTATACTAGCTGTTACCTATTAAATAAAAACAATCATAAAGTGACATTCTGAAGTTAATGTGGGATAGCAGATTTCAAGGAAACTCATGTACACTTGTTAATTGCTTTCCCTAAACAGTAAAAAAAAATACATAAACTAGAAGTATATATTTAAACACATCATTCTGTTTCTAACATTTTAGTTTGAATGTAAATGTTAATTTTATCAGAATTTTTAAATTTTAAAAACCTAAAAACATGTACTATGTAATGCTTAAAACATCACTCTAGCTTATATTTAAGTGAATGGAAACCAACAAAATTTATGAAAGTTCTGCTAAAACATGACAAGTAATGGGTATCATCACCCTAGGTAACTACTTTGAGAGTGTCATAGTTATTCTGACATAGCATTCTCAAGTGTTAAAAATTTATGAATAAAATTGGATGTTGTCTTGTCTCTTCAAAGACAGGGGCTTTATTTTTATTTCTTTTGACTGTCATGAGTCCCCTTCACAGTGGTAGTTGGTTGACCTAATGGATTTCCAGTGGACTGAACACCTTTAGGTATCGTAGCCTGGATACACAAACTGAAGTTCAGACAGTAAGCATGGCATCACCTAGGAGCTTGATAGAAATGCAGAATTTCAGATCCTACCTACTGAACCAAAATGTGAATTTTAATAAGATCCCCAGGTGCTTTGTATCTGCATTAAAATTTGAGAAGCACTGATGTAAAGGTCACTTCTAGATCAAAGACAGTATCATTTTACAGCTTTTGCCATGAAATTTCATATAAGAGGTTATAGCATTTAGAACAAAGTGTCAGATCAAATGTCTATCCTCTCATAGAGTAGAATTCTTCTCTTGTTTATGCAGTTATTTAAGTCAGTGAATGTTCAAATGAGATTTTATTAACAGAGCTGCAAATGATTGAATGTTGTTAGACATAAGAAGAAAGTATGGAAACGAGCATGTGAAGGGGTTTCTAAACAGACTGAAAGACAACCTAGCTATGAAACCAAATGCAAGCATTTCAGGTGGCTGCTTGATTACATACTGGTGGGTGTTATTGCTCTCTGCCAGCTGTAACTCATGGCTGGGGAACAGAAACCCAACCACAACTGCTGATGTCCCCCACCCCCAGCCCTGCCACACACACACACATTGTCTTTTATTGAAGACAGCCAACGAAATTTTCAGCATGTTAGCCAAAGCAGGCAGCAGCTTGCAGTCCAGGAACACAGGGCTCCTGGCTCTTCACAGCAAATGACACCACCCACGACTTCACAGACTAGAAAGGAAAACCAGACCTTTCTTGTTTTCTTGAAGAAGACAGATGCTTTGCATCAAACTGGATGAATGCCAGCCATGCAAAGGCACCAAATGACGTCTTTTTCATATCTCTAGGGAATCTGGCCTTGTTATTTTACTGTGGTCTTTGCCTTATTTCTTCAGTGTTGGTGGAATGGCACAAAATTAAAATAATGGGAGTCCAAGGGAGTAGGTTTAGCAAAGACAAGACAGTACAGGTCTGATTCTAACTCAAGGTCTTTGAGGTGCCCAAGAACCTAACAGAGTTCACAGGATATCCTGAACACTTAAGACTGGAACACAATGTTATTTTTCTGGCCTTAGCCTATCATATAGCCTTGGAAAGAAACCCAAGAAGTAGGAATAGTGGTACCATATGGAATTAGAGCTGGGAATTCTTTCTATTGGGAATGGGACTAAAATGAAGAACTTTGAAAAGGGGACTCAGGAGGGGATTCTAGAGAAAGGAAAAAAGGGCTTGGTAAAGATGTTCTAATTAAGTAGGAGCTGGAAAGTCCCATGGTATTTTAGCTCAGTATCCCATTAGTTACTGGGGTCGCGTCCCTTCTATGAAGGATATTCAACAGGCAAGAGAAGCTATGAAAATGGAGAGAGCTGACCAATATTTACACTGCTTAAATACATTTATTTTTAATGTATTTTGCTTATTTTTTCCAAAGTATCTACTTATATTGCTGAAATTATCTGTATAGTTTAATGTTTACTGGTGTATGAACTAAACAACTTTGAAGAAAGCATGACTGAAGTCAGCCTGATCTTTTACCCAATTAATATACTATACATTCTGGGCATGTTTCCAAGATACCCACCTTCAATTTTCCTTCTGAATATAATTTTCAAGCAAATGAGTTTGCACACTCTCGAGTTTCTAATGGATTCTCATGCCTTTAAAAAAAATGGTTGCCAAATAACTTAATGAAGGCTACATACTGCTCTTCAAC